TATATATATATATATATATATATATATATATATATATATATATATATATATATATATATATATATATATATATATATATATATATATATATATATATATATATATATATATATATATATATATATATATATATATATATATATATATATATATATATATATATATATATATATATATATATATATATATATATATATATATATATATATATATATATATATATTGTATCTGGAGCTTTTCGATCCTTGATATATAACGTTTAGCAAAACTTTGCATGGCAGGATCTGATCAAAATCTTCTAAATGTAAATAAGACTGTATTATGGATTGGTGACCTTGGTTCTTGTATTGTACGTCTTTTTCACTTTTCTGTTGTCATTTAAAAGTGTTTTTGTTTTGTTCTGATTGCTTTGAAAAACAAAAAATATTAAAATAAATAAATGTAAATTATGATAATGGAGTGTAAGCTGGAGTAACAATTCAGGAGGTGGAGACAGTCAAAAAGATGTATAATGAGTGTCTTTAGGTAAATATTTACAAGATAAAATGTTCCTAAATGCGCATACAAACATTATTGTTAGAAAAAAAAATACATAATTTGTGTGGTTATTCAAATCGCTTGCATTAAAGTATAAGTTTTTGAAAAATAATTTAATATTTGTTTTGGACATGCAAAATGTGCACAAACTTGGTGCTTCCTTAAAAAAATTATAACAAATATTTCTGTAAAATGTTTTAGAAATGTTGATGTTGTTATTATTATTATTACATAGTAAATTACATAATTATTACATAACATTATTAATGACATAAAATGTATTGCATAGGTAAAATGATATTATTATCAAAACAGCTAAAAAATAAATGGACAGGCATAATTCTAATGTATTTGCCCTCCTGTGAATTTTGTTTTCTTTTTTAAAAATTCCCCAAATGATGTTGAACAGATTCAGGAATTTTTCACAGTATTTCCTATAATATTTTTTCTTCTGGAGAAAGTCTTATTCGTTTTATTTCAGCTAGAATAAGAGCAGTTTTAATTTTTTTACACCCATTTTTAGGTCAATATTATTCGTCCCTTTAATATTAAGCAATAGTTGTTTTGATAGTCTACAGAACAAACCACTGTTATACAATGACTTGCCTAATTACCATAACTTTAACCTAATTAACCTAATTAAGCCTTCAAACGTCACTTTAATCTGTATACTAGTGTCTTGAAAAATATCTAGTCAAATATTATTTACAGTCATCATGGCAAAGATAAAATAAATCAGCTATTAGAAATGAGTTATTAAAACTATTATGTTTAGAAATGTGTTGAAAATAATATTTACGGGTGGGCTTATAACTGTACTTTTAATCAAACCAGTCAATATCATAAGCTACATAAATATGTGACCATCTCTATATAACAAATAATATCAGACTTGCAGTACCTTAAAGTGGTGCTCGATGTTGCTGTCAGTGTATTTGGGGATGTGGAGAAAAATGAGCAGGTTCTGCCGGAGATAGTGAGCCACCGCCTGGATCCACGGCCCACAGTACTGAGGCAGACAGAACTCCATCACCTCCGTCGCTGGAGACCCGGGAGGCTGGATAAACTGAGAGCAGGAGAAAAATGAAGAAAAAGATGAGTAATAAACAAAAATCACATCTGCAGTCTATTATCAGAGCATTAATCTCAGACCCGCTGACCGCCTACAGAAACTGACCTTCCCATGTGCATGGAGAAAAAACTTGTGGCTGGTATTTCAGTGATATTTGGAAAAAAAATCCCCGATAAAGGGCTTTAAGCCAACTCAGGTCTGAGATGAACACGATGTCACAAAGCTTTGATCCAAAGCAAAAGTGATAAAAAATAAAAGATAAAAAAGAAAATTATAAAAGAGATCTCCAGTGGGTCATAGGCCATTTTAACGGACGGTCAAACGCACATCCTGTAGAGCGATAGTTGCGTATCCATACTTCCGGCTGGAGCAATGGAGTGAGATACGCTACAGTTTTGACTACCTCTTTAAAAACTTTTCCAACTAATACTGCTGAAATAAGTCAGTCTGGAATTGTTTGTACATGTTTATATTCAATGTATTGTTTTCAAGATTTGTAACCTACATTACATAATATACATTTGTTGACATTCACACATGAGTATATGCATGCATCCATCCATCCATCCATCCATCCATCCATCCATCCATCCATCTATCTATCTATCTATCTATCTATCTATCTATCTATCTATCTATCTATCTATCTATCTATCTATCTATCTATCTATCTATCTATCTATCTATCTATCTATCTATCTGTCTATCCGTCTGTCTGTCTGTCTGTCTGTCTGTCTATCTATACTATGAACTTACTATATGGTTGGGGTTAGATTGTGGGTTAAGTTTAGGGTTAATCAGGAAATTAATCAATTAAATGTAATTACTCTAGTAAGTGCATGTAGCATGTGTAACTACTAGGAATGTAACGATAATACCTCGGTATGGATGGCACGGTACAGTATTTATTGAATAATTTACAGGAAAAACAAAACTAATGCACTATTGCACTATCATGTTTTTCTCTTCTTCTTCATTCTTTTATAACACATTTTACCTGTTTTTATGTTTTGTTTTGTTTTTACGCATTTTTATTATTTGTTTTTATTTTGTTTTTTTATTTTACTTGTTTCTTTTATCCTTGTTTATGTAAAGCACTTTGAATTGCCATTGTGTATGAAATGTGCTATATAAATAAACTTGCCTTGCCTTGCCTTGCCTAATGAAAAGACTTGAAAAAAGTGCCAAAAGTGTTTATTTACCTCAGCACTGAACATATCAATGACATACAAATCAGCCATCTATCTGTACTTTTCGAAAAAGGAACTTCAATTTTTCAATTTTAATAACAAAAAACTATTAAACCATATTAAAAAAATAAAGTTTTAATTTAGTATTGTTGAAAACTCATCACATTCAACATTTAATCACTCACTCACTCAGATAGAGATAGGTTTTTTAAAGAAAAAGGATCATATAACTATAATCTGGTAAAAGCTGGGATCTCTGGGCATTTACAATGTCCCCTGAAACAGAAAAAAAAAACTCTCATTTGGGATTGAGGTTTCTGGGATAGAGAGGTTGACAGCAGTGGGTAACGTTGTGCATTGTCTTTCCACCACTGGAGAGGACAAGCCATGAGTGAGATAGAGGTCTCTTTGCGGTACAAGTCAATGTCTGCATCAATCTAACAAGTGTGCTGTGTTCTGCAGACCCCATGACTGTTATTAGTCGTATTCCCCGACTATATTTCACCACAGTCTGGCAGTGCCTGCATACTGTTTTTATCTTTGTCTGTCACCTTTTCTCTTTTTTCGAATCTTTTTAGAAACTGAAATGCTTCCACACATCTGATTTAAAAGCCGCTTTAGGTTTGATCACTTCCAGCTCTTTTTCTTCCCCGCTACTAGCAACACACTCCATCTCCGCATTACTGGATCTGTAGTGACAACAGACCGCAAAGGATGATGGCCACGCCTGGGCTGATGGGAATTGTAGTTCCCGCTTCCTCCCGTTCGCTTCATTCGCCTGAGCAAACTTTTCTCAGAAATATAGTTTTATTGAGTCATGCGCCTACGGTAATATTGAAAAAATTACTATTGCGGTATGACGGTATTTACAATATTGTTACATCCCTAGTAACTACATCACCTTAAATTGTGCTACGAGCAACTCCAATACAGAAACACCATGTAATGAAGCAGAGGCAGAGAAATCACCTCCACATCTGCAGGGGTCAGTTTGCAGTTTCTGACCAGCATGACTGTAATAATGTCCAGTGTGGCTTCATCCAGACGCTTCCTCAAGAGCTTCATCAGCTCATCCGAGATCTCTGGACCTGCCGATAACAGAACATCAGCCCTCATTTAGAAATATGAGATAGTATTAAGCAAAATACCAACAGATTGAAAGCCACACAGTTCATATTGTCCGTAGATTTAAAAAATATAAAGACTCCCTAAACAGATGCTGAAATCCCTTAGAGATGCTTAATAAAGCAAAAAACCTCCTGCAAAATTACAAATATGGATTTAAAAGACTTCTATGGCTACACTTTAGAGGTGAAGTAGCACATTTAGAGAAAGTAAATGACTCATGACTCTAATAACAGAAAGATGCAGATCAACAGCGCCTCCTGTGAGCTGCTAATGGAACTGCAGGTGCTGTTATAGAGTCTGCAAAAAAACATCAGTACTATCCTTTGTGTTGATAAATAAATAAACAATGCCTTGTGAAATACATGCAGCTCCACAGCTAAATCTAAAACTGCTGCTTGCTCCGCATACACCCCCATACAAAAGTTTGGACACTCATTAATGAATGAATTTACTGTATATGTTGAAGCAATGCTACTACATATTTAAACAACAGTCTTATTTAGATATGTCTGTTAAACATTGTTAACAACGATCTAATCAGTCAATCACATTACAGGAAATCAGTGTATTTTAGTTTTAGTGGTCAAGAAACCTCAAGAAAATGCGGGCACCAATTGTTCCTTAAAGGGCCATGAAACCCCCTCGTTTCAGCAGGGTGTTTTCACACCTCTACTTTGGAAAAAGCTAGAAAAGTGGGCGTGTCCAGCTTTGTTTAGGGGGGAGTGTCAGAGGAATAAAAGTGGGATGGTGTGGGAGTGTCTATTTGGGCACGCGCGAGTTTCAGAGTCAAAATACACATACACATACACATACACATACACACACACACACACACACACACACACACACACACACACACACACACACACACACACACACACACACACACACACACACACACACACACACACACACACACACACACACACACACACACACACACACACACACACACACACACACAGGAAAAAAGTGACTGTGTTTACATGGACATCTGTAGTCGAATTATTTGCCAAATTATTAAATGGTGGACTTTAACTGCAGTTTGGCTCTTTCAATCAGGGAATTCATTCATGTCCCTCGCGACAAACGAGATATTTGATTCGAGGAACTGCTCTAAGTGTGTATTTTTCATGCAATGTTTGATACCGCACGGCGAATGAGAGAAAAAAAACTCAACATTTCCCGGAAACTTAGATGCACACGGCAGGTAGCGTCAGAAAGCCGCATGTGTTATTCCGGTCACTAAATGCGGTGAAAATCCTACACGAGGTTAAAGTTTGGTTGTGGTGCTAACATGTTTACACTCGGTGCAATAGTTTGTTCGATACGAACAAACTGAATAAACAAAGAGCACTGGTCGCTCACTTACCAAATCTGTAGAGACAGAACAATCACCAGCAACTAGAGCCGCGTCTTTATTAAGAGGAGACTACAAGCGAATCCGGATCTCAGCATTTGCAGATGAGAACAGCTCTCAGGTAAACAATAATCCTCCTTAGACACGTAAGCTATTGTTGTCGAGCTTCGCGTACACTGTTAATCCACACGTGAGTCTAAGCTCTCACTGAGAGAAAACGAAAACGAAACTTCACTGCAGCAAACTATAAAAGCAACACTTCACGCTTGTTTTGCCAATACAACGTGGCGTCTCTGTCGTCTAAACACTGTGACAGTAATGAATATTAATGAAGTTGCACAATAGAGCGCGCTGATTGGTTTGAACCAAGCTTTACTCATGCATTAATGCAGCACACTGTAAGACGTAATAAGACTCACTCTGGCACAGACGTCCAGTCTGGACGCTGGAATACAGGCTATTATCTCATGTCCGTGACGCAGCTTCTAAAATTCGTTTCAAACAGGAAGTGCGAATTTGCTTGAAATAACGCAAAAACAACCAATTTACACTTTTTAGTGAAATATAGGTGTCCTAATAGTGTTTTTAGCAGTGTGGGACACATATACGACTGTCAACAGCTCAAAAAATTCGTTTTGGTGTTTCGTGACCCTTTAAAGAAAAGTATGGCGTGTGATTTGAAGGATTCGTTGATTCCCTTCAAACCCAACACACTTCATTCATCTTCTCTATCATCCTTAGACTCTAAAGTGAGAAACATCCATCAGACTCTCTTACCTGCAGTTCCTACACCATGAACTAGCAGCAGAATGTGTTTGTCCACCAGTCCAACTGGCCTCGAGCCTTCCAGAGACGAGCGCGATCCCTGCCAACACAAGATGCATGATCACACATATCTCATGAAGGCGAGTTATATGGGTTGTTGCAGGGGGTGGATCTAGACAATTTTTGATAGGGTGGCATGAAACTTATGAGGGGTGGCAACACCGAATCAAGCCTCTTTACATGACTTTGGTGGATTCAATGAATGCTATACATGTTTAGCAGTGGCTAGCTGCTAAGAAACACTAAGAAGACTTGAACACAAGGACAGGTCAGTGCTTCAATAAGGCCAGGTAAATCCTTCACTTTAGATGGGGATTGGAGCCCTAATGGCTGCTGAGGGCTCTGGTTTCCGAAAGCGTAATGAGAAGTGACAGTATGTGAATGTTACCGTGAGGTCCTCTGAGCCTAGCGGCTCCTGGCTGCGAGCCAGACCGACAGAGCGCGACATGTGCACGTTTCCATCCAAATCACTGTACTTCCCTGCCTGAGACGTCTCGGAGAGCCTGTGGAGACGGATAGATGAGGTCAAGACTTCCAATTGCATTCTAGCCATCATTTACAGTACTGGTGGATTACAGTAAAAGTGGGAAAGCAGACGGAGCCGCTAAATGTGTGTAGCGGCAGAAAGACATCTGATTTGAGCTATTTTTGAGATAAATGATTTCAACATGTTGCTCAAAGCCATGTGATACATACTGTGCAAGTTATTTTGTGTACACTAGCAATCAATAAGGCATATTCATGTTGTGTATACATAGGAATTGTAATGTTACTGAATACCGAGTGCATTTTTTTCATTCATTTTTCCAATAGGGATTTTAAAAATGTTTTTTTAGGGCATTTCAGCTCAAAATACACCATAAATAATGTTTTGGAACTTTCTGAACTGACCCTTTTAGGCTTTGAGACAAATTGTGCTTTTTCGGTGACTGTTTACATGAGATTGTGCTTCTCTCAAAAGAGGGTGGAGCTACAAATGCCTGTGTGTCAGCATAGTGGCAGATTCAAAAACAAGACTAACGTATAAGGGACAGATGGTCACTAGTGAGCGGGGCTTTCCCCCTCTGATAACACGTGCAAAGGGAGAATGTCAATCAAAGGGATTTAGGAGACTGTTTTAATCAAGTAGAATTATAAAAAATAGAATGAATACATTACTACCATTAGAAGCTGGTTATATTCACAGATTGTTGCCCCACAACTGTGCTTAAACCCCTTATTAATATTAAATAACATTTTTGCATAATAGGTCCCTTTTAAAGAAAAAACAGAAATAGAAATGTTTAAATAAAAAAGAAAACTGATAATCACATAAATCACATTACAAACTTGTTGAAATTTTAGACATGCATATTAAAATCCAGACAAAAAGACAAATATTTTATGAACTTCAAATTTAAGTTCATTTGTTCATAAAATACATTTAAAAACAGTCACAAGACTGACCAAAGTGCTGTACACAAGTCAAGACTGAATAAATTAAAATATTAGGCAGTAGAAAGGACTATTAAAAAAATAATAATAAAAAGCCATGCAAAATAGGTCCGTTTTTATGAATGATTTAAAAATAGTTCAAGAGTTCACACTTAGCTCACGATTTATACATAGCTTGTTTGGGGTGCTGTCCAGGGAGAGAGCCCTGAGCTCAAGGGATCCTCGAGCCCAGGGCTCCCCCTTTTCGCAGCGCAAGGGGAGACTGAGCTAAGGTCGATCTCAAACTCCCCCGCTGCTGAGGCCAAGGCAAACTTGCTAAGAGTAAGACATTAGAAAAAAAGATTTAGTCTTATTTATCTATAATATAGAGCATATTTGGAATTGGAGAAAACCGGGGAACCCGGAGGGAACCCACGCGGACACGGGGAGAACATGCAAACTCCGCACAGAAATACCAGATGGCCCAGCGAGGACCCAACGACATTGGTATTCTTGCTGTAAGGCAACAGTGCTAGTCACTGGGCCACCGTGCCGCACATTCTGGATAGAGGTGGAAGAAGGGGAGGAGGGGGGTTTCATCCAGACAAAGATAGTTGTAGAAAGGAAATAAGGATATATAAAGTGAGTTGGGATCCTTTGATTGGAGGATCATGATTAGATAATGTGGTCCAGCTGGGTCAATCACGAGCACATGCTTCTCTCGAAATTAGTTTAAAATTAAACTTCACTCAGTGATGGAGCCATTCTGATTTCAAGGGCAACTGTTCCATAACCGAGAACCCGCCACAGAGAAAGCTCTGTCCCCTCTACGCTTCAGTCTGGACGGTAGAACTAAAAGAAAATTTTGAGCACTTGATCTAAGAGATCTTACAGGTGTGTAAAAATGCAACACCTCAGAGAGGTTTGGGCCAGATTTTTAAGGTATTTAAATACCAGTAAAAACAGATTAAAATCAATTCTGAATTGGATGGGCAGCCAATGGAGGGCCATTAGAAGTGTGGTGATGTGGTCAAGTTTTCTGCTATTACAAATAAATCTAACAGCAGCATCTTGGACCAACTGAAGGTGAGAATTGGTGATTTTGAAATGCCAAGTGCATTGCAGAAGTAAAACCGTGACGTTATAAAAGCATGGAAAGCCATCTCTAGTGTGGTGGGATTAATAAAAATAAAAAAATAAAAAAATCTTAAATGCTTTTAAAAAAAAAGAGCAATAAATCACACTGAGAATTATAGTTGAGAATGAGAAATGCATATAATAGGGATATAAAGACAACTATCAAATTAAAAAGTTGTTGGATACATCTATAGAACATATAACTTGTGTATGTTAGATTATGCAAATGAGTATATACAGAGCACAGGGAGACATTACATCATCACCTTTACTTTATGAGAGTGGGTGGGGCTAAAGATATCTGCGACTCTGATTGGTGGAATTTTGCACACTGGAGTTTTCCATCACAAGTTCTGCTATTAAACAATTTTTTTTTTTTTAAATAAGTATAATTAATGTGAAGAAATGAGCATATACAACCGATTAGCAACCTCAGAGCTCACAACAGGCCTGTCTTTAATCGTTTATCAGTTTTTGCTAATTATCAGTTTCCCTATGGAGGAAATAAATTGAGTTTTTATTTCCAGAACCCAACTGTTTTCTCTGAATGCTCATTTAATCAGGCATGTAAAGGCATTAAATGTCCCATCGACAGTTATTCGAGAGCACATATTTTAATTAAAGAAGCTAAATTATGGTCAAGATGCTTGAAAAGGTATTTGTCTACGATATAAGCTACTAACTAAAGGCATTTAATAATATTGAGGTTATTTAAAATGACAATGCATTTGGATGTCAGGGCTGAATTGATTTAACACAAAATTCAGGATTGCAATTAGAGTGATAACAAATCAAACACACAGAAGACAGATATTAGTAAGCTAACGTTAATTGCACATTCACACAGGAAGTCAGAGTCAATGCTTCCCATTCACTTTATATGGGTGATGTCTAGCATTGCTGAACTTAATTGTGGGTCTGTCGGCGGGGCTTCAGCGGCATTGCTTGCTGCAGGAGATGGGACTTTCTCAACCTTTCAAGCACCAATGGAAGCGTCAGCCAATCAGATCGCTGTATGCAAATACGCCAGCTCAGACAGTATCCGATTGCTGACAGATTTCATTGGCTGATGCTGCTGTGACGATCGCTTCAGCCCCAACTTCAGACACGCCCTCTGTCAAGCGTTGACGCTGAAGCCCCGTGTGAATCGGGCACAAGAGTTAGCAAACACTGTCGTTTTTCATTCAATCATTCATTTTCTTGTCGGCTTAGTCCCTTTATTAAATCGGGGTCGCCACAGTGGAATGAACTGCTAACTTATCCAGCAAGTTTTTATGCAGCGGATGCTCTTCCAGCTGCAACCCATCTCTGGGAAACATCCACACACATTCACACACACACTCATACACTACAGACAATTTAGCCTACCCAATTCACCTGTACCGCATGTCTTTGAACTGTGGGGGAAACCGGAGCACCCGGAGGCAGGGAGACACGAAGGGAGAACATACAAACTCCATACAGAAACGCCAACTAAGGCGAGGTTCGAACCAGCGACCTTCTTGCTGTGAGGCGACAGCACTACCTACTGCGCCACCGCCTCGCCCACTGTCGTTTTTATAAATTTATATTTTTACAAAGCAAGGATGCAATAATTTCATTTAAAGTGATGTGTTAAATTAATTGCGTTAAATATGAGTTTATTTGAGTTAAGCAAAATTAAAAGTAAAGCCAAATCCATGAAAAAAATTATATATACACAATACTAGTATGCATTCTTTTTTAAAAACAGAAATAGCTCAATAAAATGCACTTAAACTTAAACTTTAAGTTAATTTCACGCATTCCATGGAAATCAAACTTCTGAGCTCGGTATTGGAAGCAGTGTGCTCTCTTGTTTTATTAGTGATATCAGCATCATCCACTGAAAAACTACTACTAGTCAATTATTAATCTGCAGATATTGAGAAGCAGTGACTCACCGGAGGTAGAACACAGATTTAGTGGTGCGCTCCTGATAGACAAACATGTTTTTGCGGTTCACCACACAGAAAGCGTTGAGAACGGAGTGCAGAGCCTGCATAGCTGGAAGAATCAGAGAGACAAAACATCTAAATTTTGCATAAAAGATCATAAACGAGCAATGTGTGCATGAACGGTTGAATATTTGATTTGCAATGATTGTTAAAGGTTCACAAAACCCTCGAGTACTTTTTTTGAGATGTTAACAGAATTGTGTGTGTTGAGCATCAGTTAAGGCAATGTTGGCACCTGTCAGCTGTAATTGTGGGGTAAACTGGATAATTTTGAGCATTTTGTCAGCTAACTTCAGCTTCCGGGTTTAAAATGATTTTTGGGGATCAAAATCGGCGACGTAGCGCAAAACTGCAAGTGCAAAGATGATGCGTCGGTTTCTCATTATTATTCATAGCGGAGTTTTCTTATCCTATGAGAAGAGCCGGCTTCTTAATTATTCATGACTGTACGTGCTTTCTGAAGACAAGGCAGACCTGCCAGTGCCAAGCTGTGAGACACAAACCCACGGCACACAGTAAGTATTCAGCTGTTCATGAAGGGTTGTATGTGTTTGTTTCCATGATCCACCGGGTTTGTTGCATGTTTTTCCCCGCGATGCTATCAGGGCCGATACAGCAGAGATGTTTCTGTGGAGCAAGTATTTTTGTCAGGAGAGCAGTACGAGAATTGGAGAATGGTGGACGTTGTCTTTTATCAGGAGTTCATTCACATTTAGACACATCACCGTGCTGCTGTGTTTGCCTAAATCCTCCAGATTACCAACAGGGCTTATGGTTAAAATAGGCAGGGCAAGAGTCTGCATTCAGACCAGGGGATTGAGGGAGAAGTCCTCATTTAGTGTTTATATGAACATGCCTATCTTTAAAATTAAATAAATTGTGGTTATCTGTATATGAAATTACCAATAACAAATGTAGCAGGGCATTAATTTACTGTTTGTTTCTTTGCATTTAACTTTGTAAACTCTAAAATCACGCGTCTATTCACGGTTTGTGTCTCATTTTGTGAGCCGACTGACAACAGTCGTTTGCTCCCTCCTTCTCCCCTGCTGGCCACGCCCACTCTTGCCCTTTGCTCGCGGAGCTCCACGCCCATTATCATGCATCTTTTGAAAAAATTCTAAGGTAGACCTGAACCAAAAGTGGGGGGTGTCATGACCCTTTAAAAAAAGCACATTGATGGGCACAAATAGGATGAATCTATAATATATACTGAGAATGCAAAACAAAACTGGCAGCAACAACTATATGTGTCAGGTGGCGCTGTGAAGTGGACTGCATTGATTGCGGTGGTTTAATGTATAGATTGGCTGCTTCTTGGAATTGATGTAATAAACATGTATTTATAGGCGGCACGGTGGCTCAGTGGTTAGCACTGTTGCCTTACATCAGTGGTCATCAAACTTGTTCCTGGAGGGCCGGTGTCCTGCAGATTTTAGCTCCAACCCTAATCAAACACACCTGAACAAGCTAATCAAGCTCTTACTAGGTATACTAGAAACACCCAGGCAGGTGTGTTGAGGCAAGTTGGAGCTAAACCCTGCAGGGACACTGGCCCTCCAGGATCGAGATTGGTGACCCCTGCCTTACATCAAGAAGGTTGCTGGCTCGAGTCCCAGCTGGGTCAGTTGGCATTTCTGTGTGGAGTTTGCATGTTGACGTGGGTTTCCTCTGGGTGCTCCACAGTCCAAACACATGCGCTATACAGGAATTGGATGAACCAAATTGGCCGTAGTGTATGAGTGTGTGTGTGTGTGAATATGAGATTGTATGGATGATTTCCAGCATTGGGCTGCAGCTAGAAAGGCATCCGCTGCAACCCAAAACATATGCTGGAATAGTTGGCGGTTCATTCCACTGTGGTGGGCCCTAATAAATAAGGGACTAAGCCGAAGGAAAATAAATGAATGAATGAATGAAAGTGTCCAACAAAAGGTAAATAAGTCTCTAGAGTCACTCACCGCGGGACACACCCATGTTGGGCCCCATCTTGAGCCGCGGGTGGATGTAAATAACGGTGCTCCACACCACGTCACAGGCGAAGTAACCCGGTATGAAGTGCATGGTGGCGGCGAGGTAATCCCGCCGCTGATAGCTCTCGTCAGCATTATAGTCTGAGGAGGAAAAAAAAAGGTGCAATTATAAAGACGAGACATTCATCCTAACAATTTCAAAACAAAAGGGAGATTAGCAGGATTAGCTGAACTCCACGGGCCCGCAGAGCACCTCAAGTCGTACGATATAAATGAAGCATTTGAGCATTCATCTCTGTGGTCGAGCGGATCCAATTCATTTGCACAGTCTGAGGCAGAACAATAAGCCATATTAGGACATTAGCGCAGTAATTCATGCTAAACAGCGGTTATAAAATTGCAGTCAATGAGGCGAGTGTTCAGACTTACATTACCAGCACCCTTCAATTGACCTTCCCCGCAGGCTTCGTCCTGAAGAAGTGTTTGTTTACGTTTGTGTGAAACGTGCTGCATTGTAAAGCTGCAGCATCAGGCATTATTAACTCTGTATTGAATATTAACGCAGCCATACCAACAGATTATATTCAATACACATAACGCATTGAAGGTGTGTGGAAAATTCTCTTCAGAAAATTCTCAGTCAGTGAATGTGATGAAGATCTGTTTTTAAGGGATGCCCTTCCGCCTGCAAACCAACACTGGAAAACACCCATACACACTCTTTCACACACATACACTACTGCCAATTTAGCTTTTTCAATTCCCCTATACCACATGTGTTTGGACTGTGGGAGAAACCGGAGCACCCGGAGGAAACCCACACCAACATGGGGAGAACATGCAAACTCCACACAGAAATGCCAACTGGCCCAGCCGCGGCTCGAACTATCGACCTTCTTGGTGTAAGGCAATTGTGCTTCCCACTGCGCCACCATTATATTTATTATATATATATAGATACATATGCACACATGCATGCATATATTTAAGAAAATCTTACTAATATTTAGCATTAAAATATATATGAATATGGCACAAATTATATTAAAAATTAAAAACTATAAAAAGGTCTATGTAAATTTTAAACTATGAAACTAAATTGTTTTATATACATTTCTATTATATATATATATATATATATATATATATATATATATAATACACGCATATATTATGTCATAACAACCTTTTATTTTGTATGCAATTGATCATGATGATTCTTTGCCTAGCACTAATTATTATTATTATTATTATTATTATTATTATTATTATTATTATTCAGTCATTTTCTTTTCGGCTTAGTCCCTTTATTAATCAGGGGTCGCCACAGCGGAATGAACCGCCAACTTATCCAGTATGTTTTATGAAGCGGATGCACATTAAGCCGCAACCCAACACTGGGAAACATCCATTCACACTCATACACTACGGCAAACTTGGCTTGCTCAATTCACCTATAGCGCATGTGTTTGGACTGTGGGGGAAACTGGAGCACCCGGAGGAAACCCACGCCAACATGGGGAGAACATGCAAACTCCACACAGAAATGCCTACTGACCCAGCCGAGGCTCGATTCAGCGACCTTCTTGTTGTGAGGACAATGTGCTACCCTTTGTGCCACCGTGACGCCCATTACTATTATTATTATTATTATTATTATTAGGTTAACTTATTTACGTGCATGTGTTTGGTTATTACCAGTTGAAGAACGAATCTATTATAGAATAACCAGTAAATGTAAATGCAGAGTGGATACAGCTGTGACTTTTGGTCTCTTTTGGTAATAAACGTTTTTATAAATAAAAAAACCTGAGAAAATCAGAGGTTTCTGCCAGTGCTTTGACACTGTGGCACAGCGTTGGTCTTGTGCTGTACAGCATTTATATAGCATGCAGAAAGTGCACAGTATATGTGTTCCAGTGTACAGTGTTAGTACCATCAGAGTGGGTCATCCGGGGCCGGTAGAGCGACTCATGTTTCCAGATGTCCTCCTCACTCTCCGCCACCAGGAGAGAGTGGCACACACGACTGTCATGCAGATCCTGCAGCAGGAGGCGCTGTAGAGCAGACAATCGTCAGCTCACAGTAAATAAGCAAGCATAATCAATGTTGGCATTTCTGACATAGATTTTAACACCTTAAGTTAAGATTGTTAAGCCTTTAAATGTCACTTTAAGCTAAACACTGGTATCCTGAACAACATCGAGTGAAATATTATTTACTGTCATCGTTTATTTATTTATTTGACATGGACATCACAATTACACTGGACATCCAAATGCATTTGTTTAAGTGTTTTAGCAAACTTGCTAATTCTCAACACCTGTCCACAGGAGACTTGAAAGAACTGACAAAATGGAAATATAATTAAAACATGTACACAACATTATAACCCTTTACATAAAATTACTGAAGCAAAAGCAAAGGCGACATGGCAAAGATAAAAGAAATCAGTTATTAGAAATTAAGCTATTATATTTAGAAATGTGCTGAAAAAGAATCTCTCCATTAAACAGAAATTAAGGAAAAATATAAAAGAATTCAAATCTACAAGGAGGGCTAATAATTCTTCAACTGTGTTACTATGAGCTATTAGATATGGCTGTGTCATTTACATGCACACACACAATCTCTCTCTCAAACGAGTCTCTCTTTGTCTTCCTGACTGATTGAAAAAGTAGAAAACCTGCATCTAAAGAGGGCCAGAATAATCTAAAAGTGGACCAGACTTGATGAATGATCTTTACCTGGTTGACTATTCGGCACATTTCTCCAATCCTGCGCACCACCAGCTGATGAAGGCGCAGGTATTCGGGGATCTCCTCCTCCTCTTCCTCCTCTTTCCCTCGATGCAAACTCCTGCAGAAACCACATCCGAACAGTGCTTTAGAAAAATGCTTAACTCAGTTTTGTTTGCATTTCTGGAGAAAAGAGGTGTTTCCATGGCGAGAAGTGAAAACAATCCATTTATGATCACTATGCAGCCCCAGATAGCACAGACAGCTGTCATCTCTTACCTTATGCTGTGTGCTTCAGGGCCATTTCTCCTTTGTTTTTGAGGTGATGTGCATAAGTAATCCTTTTATATGTCTGACGTGTTCCAAACACAGTGAATTATGTTTGATCAAACAAAAGAATAGTGAAATATGAAAACAATGATCGCTCCCTGTGGCTTGTACAGCACCTCTCTTCAGTTGGAATACAATAACTTGTGCATAGATTATGGTAGAGACATTTTCATTTTTTCATATAACTACAAACATGTGCAGGAACCACCAGAATTAATTACAGCACGCTAGACCACACAGAACCTAAAGGGTACACTTTCAAATTTCAGTAAAAAAAAAAAAAAAAAAATTATATATATATATATATATATATATATGCTCATATTATAAAGACATGGCGGGGAAAATGTAATTTAATATATATATATATATATATATATA